AAAATGTGAGTAATTGAAAAATGTATGTTTCAAATTCATATTTATGCCAGAAGATCAATCGAATTGTTCGTGGCCTACGTATCTCCCTTCTAACTATACGTAAAAATCACATTCAATTTACTTCCGAAATCTTCGAAAAATGAAATACGTATTTCACAACAAACGGTTTTGTCCTAATGTAAATATATCCTAATTCTGTTATCTTGATTTTAGGCTACTTCACTTGCGCACGGCATCCGTGTTAGATAATGTATTTTTCACATACCTAAATTTTTGTTGACATTTGCGATAAAAATCATTGAAATATGCGTGACATAACTCAGTCACGCATTTTTGTGGTTCAAATTATTTACTCATTCTCACTCTCGTCAACATGCTGTAAGTTCAGGGAGATTAAAATTTACAATAACATAGTCCAAATCCAAACCATTCGAAATATATGCTCGCGTTTTGCAGGTCGATGCTTTCGGCAACCATATGAGTTTTACGGAGAATTAATTAAATATTTTTTTATAGTCACCAAGTTGTTAAAGCTAATGGTGGGATTCAACCGGTTCGCACCGGTTCTATGGAACCGTCTCACGGAATTTATGAGATCGGCGAACCGGTTAGCATTACTGGTTACTGTCAATGTTCTGTTTGTAACAGAACCGTCTGAAAATTATGACTTTTGTGAAGAAACCGGCTGACAAAAAATTTGAATCCCACCACTGGTTAAAGCATATTATGTTACCGTGATAAAAAAAAAAAAAACTTCAAAGTCAATAGTCTGTAGGAATTTAGGGTTTTGTTTTTTATCAATTCTAAAAAAACATCGTGTTTTAAAACAAGGGCTTGTTTTGAATAAAAAATTTTCTGTATTTTTCGTATTTTTCATTGAAATATCCCTTGCATCGCCGCGAAACTATACGCCAAAACGTTGCATTCTGGCAGCTGCACACGCAGCCGGAATTATATTTTCAAAAATGTAAGTAAAATTTTTTATTTCGACTTTTACCACTATTGCGTATATATATCGCCACTTTATATCTCCACCAAAGTCATAAGATTTTACCAGGAATGTTGAGCCGAAATATCAGAGAGACGTTTTGAGTAAGAAAAATCATGAAAATTAGCTCACGAGCCTACTACAAAAGCAATTCGATCAAGTGCAGCCAGCCCTTCGGCAAAACGAGTGGGTTGCGATAATGAAGAATATTCTTATATCGGCGGTAATCTACTGATACGAGCGTTGAGACACCCTAACCTATGCTCATTTTAAAAGTCCTCAGGACTTATCGGTTGCGTCTTACTGCGCCAACCACTGAACTACAGCTTGAGAAGGTGTGCATGAGCCTTTATCGATATATGTGGCGTTTTAAAAGATTTATTGCAAATAGGAAGCGCTTGGCAAGTTTTTACATCCATTTTTCTTCAACCTATTTAATACAAAAAAATCAAATAGTACAGCCATTTTGAACAAAGCAGGCAAAAAAACTTGATTTAAAACAATTGTTTTTGAACAAATCCTACAGTAGGATAGTAGTATCAGTATATTCCTGTTCCTGCCATTTGCGGAACAGGTTAGAATGAAGGTAATGTCATCTATTTTATCTGATAGTTCGTAATTGTATTTCACCATTTTCATCTACTCGCGATGAGACAACACAATCAACAATTTCGGCGTTTACGTTAAAGTATTCCTGTTTTGTATTTTATATTTTCGCGGAACCTAGCTCAGATTCGCAAGGCCGAGTTACAAGCTGTACATAAATTGCATAAACTGCATAAATTGAATATGAATCGGAAGAGAGTTTACTATGTATTATACTTATTCTATAAGAAAACAAGTTTTTTCTGTCAATCCTATATGTTCACTACAGTCTCAAAACATCGATGTAATTATATGATAATAAAACGCTATAATTCAAATTCATTATCTTATAGGCAGGAGTGGTCACACGTCGATCGCCACGTCTCGAGTAGTTGATCGCGTCTGATGTTGAGTAAATTTAAAAAGATAGCCCAAATAATTGCCTTGAACCAAGTTTAATACAGCGCCTGTTGCGTGTTTTAAAATATGAAGAATGTAGTACTACTGTACATGCCCAAAATACGATATACACATGCAGTAATTGGGCATGGACAAGCCCGATAGAGCAGTGGTTCCCAAACTGTGGGTCGCGACCCCGGATGGAAAGCGACCGGAAGAAATCTTCCTACACGTTTTAAATGATTGATAATTTATGTTTTGCAGTTATTTCGAATAAAAGCGCGTTATTTACAAGTAAATGTATATCGGTTTTCATATTTTGTATATTTGAAAATACCGTCATTCTCTACTTTGTAATTTTGTTTCTGACAAATAAAAATATAAGACATCCCGCGAAAATAGGCCCTAGTGTTATTTTTCGGAAGAAAATTGAAATAAGACCCAGTCTTATTTTGGGGGAGACACGGTAGGTGTGGGGGCGCGAATATCTGTAGGCTTTGATTATATGAAAATTGGGATCGCGAAAAAAGTTTGAGAACCACTGCTATAGAGCATATTATTATGTGACAACTGCAAGTTTCACTTCTGCCAAGTTTTAGAAATGAACGTACTGAATAGTGAATACTATCTGTCGTGATTGGCAAAGAGCAATGTGATAACTTTTTTTTCGCGACGGTAGCAGTGGCATCAGAATGCCCATTTTTTTTTCTAATTCCAAGCGAGCAAAAAATCGGGCTTGAAGAAAATTATAAATTAGACACTAAAGTTTGAGCAGTCATGTAACATTTATGATTTGAGAATATTCATTATTCGCTGTTTAGATAATACATGGATACTTCATATGGAAAGTTTTTTTGTAGATTGGAAAACACTTACGACTAAAAATTAGACAGGCCCTAGATCTGAATTGTATGATTTGAATTAATCTAAAATAAATGATGAAACATTAACTCCGGGTACAATTACATAATCGAATTGTGGCAATTTCATTGGGAATGCGGCTGCAGAGCCGAGCTTATTGACAGCGGTTAAATTTTTGTATGCGTGCAGTTATCTGCGTTTTCAGTATTCATTCATTATTGTTTATGACCTTATTACCGATCAGTCGATCGCGAGCTATTTTGAAGATTTTATTAGACCGCGGTCGAAAGCAGGTTGGCCCCCCCGTTATAGATCATCAAAAAATAACCATTTAATTCGTAGTATTATATGAAGCTCAAATTATTAAAATTACCGCTAATTATATTCTGTAATCTTCTTGTACACGATTTATTTTACGGTTCGCACCCTGACAAGTTACTTTTCCAATTGCTCAATTTTCACTACTCAACTCAATGAACGTATGAATTAAAGTTACTAAATATATTAACGTCGTATTTCTTGTGAATTTTCCACATTCTTATTGGAGGAAATAATGCAAATATAGATTAAAAAAGATTCTCCTTGCCTAACAGGACGTAGTATGCCCCAGGCCGATTAAAAGTTGCGTAAAGAGTATCCTGCTGTTTAAAACTGTTAAAAAATCTTCATTTATTTATCATATTACGGAAGATGTTAGAGACATTGTAACGAATACGCCCGCTTCAAACAAACTACGTTCATAGTTTGTTGTGACAACTGCAGTCGTCTAATATAGCCATTTTATTTGAATTTAGATGAAATGTAATACAGAGTTTTTGCAGTTGTGATTTTGAGAGAGAGAGAGTATTTTTGTTATTTTGACGATTCAATCTTAGTGGATAATTGAAGATTTATTTATATTTATATTATTTGATAAAGCCCAAATAAGTCAGTGTCTCACGTACGAGTAGATAATGCACCGTTTGTATAGAATACTGTTCCGAAAGGTCTGAGTACAAAAAAACAAATTAATTTCAATATTTGAAATTGAAACTTATAGGCTAATTTACGGACTTAATAGTACTTGAAATTTCAATAAAATCGCTTGAATTATATATATAAATTGTTGACTCAAGTGCTTCGTGATTCAAATTTATTCTCTGTTTATCCTTAACACGCACGTTTTGTGAAAAAATTTAAAATGGCGCAAATCTAAAATTTGAACTCTAAATTTGAGTATTGCGCGACGACGATTCCTCGCGCGCTCTCCGGGGATTTTTTTATTATTCGAAAACTTCCGAAACAAATTTTTTCTAATTTCAGGAATTATCAGTAATTGAAAAATTCTATTTTATTCTTGTGACACCTTTTAATCTAATGCTTTCAGCTTTCAACGGGGCTTTAAGCAAGTAGAAACATCTCTTGAGCTATTAGGTTAGTAAAGGTCAAATATTTTGTCGGCAGAGCTCACAGACACTATTATGTAAAATATAGAAGTTTAAATGAGTGTGTATGTATAGTTTCGCGTAAGGAAGATTTGTTATAATAATATATATCCGTTGTTCTTTTCGTTGGCTAAGTGAATAGTTCTTGCAAAATTTGCCATCATAATTGACTGAATCTTGAATCTAATTTGAGTTCACTTTCATTTCAGAAAATATGTTAATATATATGTACGAAACACTTCGCGTTTCGTAAAAACGTTTAGCAAGCGTTTAAAATATTTCTATTGAATTTATCAAATCGCTGCATTGGCTTCGCATTAAACTAACTTTAAATAATCATAAAATACAGGCTAGAAGTAAACCGAATTTGACGATGTTGAAGCCTATAAACTGCTAAAACAGCTTCTTCTGCAGCCATGTCCTGCTCGCAGCTTCACAGTTGATTAAGCAGGTTAACTAGAGATAGAATATACTATCCAGCCTGTAGATTCATTCAATTTAATATATATCGCTTGATAATCATAAATACTATCAAGTTTGATTTTGATTGTTTTGGGTTGTATACTGAAGCTCCAACCAGACCGCAGTCTGGTTGGATTTACCCATACCGAACTCCCTATATTGTTTGACCATCTACCTCGGTGGTTGTGCAACACATGTGCTGTTCTATTTACTACTTTGTATGTAAACGAATACTAAATGTTTATTTCAATGATTCTGATCTTAAAATTCGTATTTTACAGAACTGTATATAGAATTTTTAATTGCAAAATAATAAAATTTTCAACGAAGAATGTCAAGATACAACATTTATATTATCGTCGTTGCTGTTTTCATAACTAGTAAGTAATGTTATCTTATTCCATCTTGTTTCCAACGCTTCTGACTTTATCTCATTATTCAATCTGTGTTTCGTGTATTAATTGGTGACCCTATCTCTACACATTCGGATTTTTTTGTTCGTTAATAATATGCTTATAATGCAGCGGCATCTGTGGATACACCCTTCCAAAAAATATTTTAGTTCAAGTGTCATTATGCACAGAGTATTATTGAAGCGAAGATGTCTAACGCATTTTAAAATTATGGATGAATTCAATACAGCTGTACTAATACATTTTACAATATACTTGTATCAAATCTATTTATATTCGCACTTCGTAGATTTCGATTTGAAATATTTTTGAAACAAAATATGGTCTCCTAAATCATTACCTAGTTATATTGTCAATTTCTCTCATTATTACTCGAGAAATATTAAACCTATATGCATTCTACGAACTTTGCAATGAAAATGAGCTCCAGTTATGTATGAATGCATAGGTTTAAGATTTATGATTTTACTTACATTTTATATATGATGATATCAACTGTTTGCATCATATATATTTCTGTAGTATATGTATCGGGGAGTCTATTGAAATCGTCTTGGGAGGTTTGAGTAGTGAACAACGATGTAACTCAGATTTAAAAGAATTCAGTTGTAAACAATGAAACACAATTCTTGAGAAATCAGATTCGTAGTACGTAATAGGCGTAACGATAACATGGTGACGCCCACGAGAAGGTCAAATAAGTATGGGTCGTGTTTTGTTCAAATTTGTCAAATGTCAAAAACAAAATTGGCTCATAGATTCGAGGCGCTATTAAATGCGAAGGTTATGTCAAGTTAATAATAAATATTTATTTCATATCTTACCTGATATATACTTATCTAAAGGTATACCTGCCTAAAGAAATAACAGCGATGTTATACAATAAAATCTCTAACATACGAAAAATCAGATAGAAGTTTCAAACACGCAACCAACTAAATATCCTTGTCTAATACCAAGCAAGCAGCATCACGTAAAACAAAATGGAGTATAAGTCGGCATTATGGCCAAACTTAATCCATATTATTTTTTCGTGCTTAAATTTCCGAAACCTGTATAATCGGATAAAAATTTATAACGTTTGTTTCGTAACGCAACGTTTGTAATATTAGATGTTTTTTCATAAAACTACAAGGAATAATATTTTATTTAATTGAATGCGGGCAGATGTATAGGACGAGGGACTAAATTGCCAGTATAGTTAAGTGAATTCATAACAAAAGCACTTTTCAATAATATAACATCTGCATAAAATATATTGTTAAACATACTTATTCTTTAGGACGTATGTGATGTTGTTCAAACGTGCAAGTATATCTAATTTGATACAATAGTAAGATGGTGATAATAGCATTGTATAATAATATAGTAAACATTTCGTTTACATTGATACCCTACAGGCCTAAGTGTAAGGGCATAATGCGTGGTATTATCATTGGTATAAATTTAATGAAATTTGTATTCAATTGTGAAGATGCCGATCGTCGGACTGAGCTGCAGTTTTCCCGTGTAAAAATATTTTGTTTCTTATATAAATATTTTCTAGTTTCCGCCAACTGCAGTTGTTCTTTGGGATATTTGTAACGATTTATACTTTTATTCTATGTTACATCAAACAACTTTTAAAATCGTTGTTGAATCTATCCCCATCAGCATTCTGCATATCAGTGTTTCAAATATCAACATAGTATTGCTGTAATCCGTCGTTGTATTTTGATGAACAGTATAATCTTATTTACAGATGTCAACATGCGACAATTTTGAGGTATTTTAATTTGACAAGACCTGTAAACAGTCACTTTGAACGGCAGCTTTAATTAATTACAAGAATTTCTGCTGCAAGTGTTCGAAAATTGGGTGTATCGCGTAAGTTTCCATGAAAACCGTGTAACGCCAATGGGCTGGCAACTGTTATTATAAAGCCACCATGCAGTTGGATACGTCAAAAATTCAAGTAGTCTTAATTAAATGTATCACAGTGCTGCAGTAATTTTGCAAGCAGTTAGTCCAGTCATTTGGTTTTGTGACAATATGTAACGTCGAAGAGTTTATTAGCAAGCGGTGCTCATGAAATTCAACTCCTTTAAAAATTAATGCAAATCTAGAAAAACAAAAGCAAATCTCACGAATCCAAAATAGAACCAGCATACATGATAAAACACCTAAGTAAACGATATTATATTGTAATATAATGGTAAACCAACTTTGTATCGTTATCAAACAATATGATAAAATTATTTAAATCATGAAATCAAATCGAGTTCTTTGAAATAAATATCAGGAAGTGAAATAGAAAACATGATAACACATTAAAAATAATTTGATACATGAATTAAAATGCAATTTATTAATAATATTTACCACGCCTGGCTTTATTTAACTTTCGTCACTTCAAAGGACTTTTTTAATTAGTTTTAAAATTAAAGCTTACGCCAAAGTTAATACCGCGATTATGTAAATTTTTTGCTCGTGGTAAAAAGTTCATGAAAGAAATTTAGTAATGAGTTCGTTACAACTTATCGAGACAGAGAAATGTTCGATGAAAATTTGGAATAATACTGGTTTTGATTTTGTTAGTGGAAGATATGACGTTAAAACTCTAAACAAATATTATACTTATTAATAAGCTTATAACGATATTCACACATTAGCACCTCCTTATTCGCACTAAAAATAAAAGTTTGTTCTGCGTTTTTTCAGCACGACATTGGGCCAAAATAGACCTATAGTATAGTTCCTATACGGAACAGCTCTAAGTTTAGCCCTACCTTTAAGTCAATAAATATATAATTAATTAAACATAATTAAACAATTGTATACTTAAACAATGCATATTTTCATAACACAAAATGTATTTTTAGTCTTGGTTGGTATGAATATCAAAACGATAATAACATGAAATTTTTGGGCGTGTCATGTCTAGATGACATGTCTGTATGATACATAAAACCTTTATTGATGATTATCTTCTCAAATATTTGCTGCGACAGCGTGAAATGCGATTGTAAATAATACCTAACAACCAATGTGATCAAATATACATTCTTTCATTATTTCACTATATACTACCACCTTCTTCTTGTGAGCAGTGTATTGGTTATAATAAATTTTAAAGCACGTGATGTCTAATACAAAAGAAAAAGTCATTTCAAATACGCATTGGCCACACTGCAAAAGGATAATGAATAGCGTGGCATGATTGTTTTGAAAACTATAAGAGTGTCTTTCGAAATAAATGTCCACCCGTTGAAAAGCATCATTTTTTTCGAAATTAAACAAATTCCAATTATTCGAGTTGCTTGGAAATTTTACGGCGGAATGACATTTACTTCGATCAAATTACAAATGTGGCATATCAGATATCTCAAAAATTATGTATACACCCAAAATCGATTTGGAAGTACTAATTATAGCATATTTATTTTTATACCGATTTTTAAAATTATTATGAGAAATTCATTCTAAACCACATTGCGCTTTTGGAATATTGTACTCTCGATGCCCAAAGGACTGTTGATGTTCGAAGGTTACGATGATGACGTTTTCAACCTCCCAATGATCGAAACAATATCATTCAACGAAAAAAAATATTTAAGTAATCGATAAGAACTGGATGTGTATAACAAAAGTGTGACATGAAAAAGTGACGATATATCCTGGTTCAGCAAATTATGAGTCAATGAACATTGGGCAGTTGATTCATTAATATTGTGAAGCTGTGTAAATCATAACCAGCATTAAAAAACAGACGATAATTGTAATTCATCAGAACAATTTGAAATTTCTGTAAAAAATTAATAGGTCTGTGTTTATGATGACGGTTTTTGTTATAGATCTGTTTCGTGGTATCAGTGTCGGTTAAAATTTTTGACATTTAATACTTAAATCAAATCTGTCTGTTAGAAACTTTCCATTCATATTTCGTAAAGTGTGGGGTATAAAGCTAAAATGATTAAATGGTACCAAATTTTTGAATTTGAAAAATAATTGCTTTTGAACTTTTGTGAAAGATATCTTTTTAATATTGACGACATGTGGCAAACAGCGTCTGAATCCCCCCTAAAAAAACGCACATCACCCCACCCCGTCTGATTCATAATGGGCGACAGGCTATGGCGAGATGCCTGATCGCGCCTTTGGGGAATTTTTTATATTTGTGTGTGACTGTGCACTTGTTTTGTATTTGTTCCCATGGATTGGTTGGTGTGTTGTGTAGTACCGGTGGTACGCTGTATGCGACGTAGCCTCATTAGCAAGCACGTCTAAAAACGAACAGACAAATTAATCTATAAATCTTATCGTAACCAAATACCAATCATTCACTGCCTAAATGATATCACTTCATTGGTTGGTTTGCGGCTTCAAGCTTCAGGCTAAAAATTACATGGAGCAAAGCGTCAACAGGCTGTTAGAATACACCACTACAATGATATTTTTGACAAGCATATAAACTCATTTCACACAAATGAATATCTTGTACATACTAAAATTAAGAATGCTTCTCGAACGGTTTGCACCTCTTACATATATACTCGTGTTACATATCATACAAATACCTTATCGTAATCCAAACTTATGGTTATGTTTGAATAAACAAATCGAGTTGTTGGAATGTTGACCTTGATTTTAACCTTGGTGATAGCAATCAATACGAGATAAATTACAGGTAATTACAAGTTGGTCTCATCCTTCAGCACCTGTTGTTTTAAATTTAACATTTTCCTCCTCATCATCATATTATCATTTTTGTTTAGATGCCATTGCATTAGAATGCAGATTTGGAATGTCCATTCATTTTGCTCATACGAAAAGAATACAACTGAAAGAAAAAAAGATACTTTGTCAAAATACTGACGCGGTATGTGGACGTGTCACCCTCCATGCAAGAGCTGATAACAAGAATGGTAACAAATACTAATTTATTGTTCAATTATTTTTCATATTCATACTGTTTAAAAATGTGTCACATGTAAACTTGACTACGTGTAATGATGAATTGTTGTTGTACATTGTCTCATTTTTTCATGACTTGTAATTTCAGAGATAATAATATAATAATCTTAAATAGTGATGTATGAAAAACAGTATTTTTGTACATCTTTTTTATTTCATATTGGTGTATAATTATCTAATTTTAGATATACATTATCACGACATTTGTTTGTTTATTATTTATATTTTTATTAAATTTTGTCGGATATCGCCACCTTCGCCAAGCTGAAAATATCCGACTGTTTTTATATTTGACGGTTTCATAATTTCAATAAGATATTAGCAATTACGAGTGATAGCTCGCAATTTCAATATCTAATTAACGATATTTCAAATATCTGCGGCGGATCGCTGGAGTTTTCTATTGACGGCAACTTCAGCATCCACAATATTGCAACGTTCTGCTTTACAAAGTCTTTTCCCCGTCATAAAATAACGAAACTAATCTATTTACCAATAAAAAAAACGTAATAGCAATTTTGTCGATTTTAATCCCATACAAACAAGCCATTGTACAACAAACATCATTGAATATCAAAGTCTGAAAATGCCGCTCAAAATATACAACAGCAAGTTGATATCAATCAAGTCAATCTTTTAATTCGCATTAAAATGTATTTAGCAACTGTTAAACTAGTAAACACTCTTTTTAATCTGTCTCATATCTTACAACCAAAACTCTCATTTGCCATTTAAATACTCTTTTAATCTTCTCTTCACGCCGTGAAGTTATTGATAGCTTGCACTAATCACAGGTTAATTCATTTCTGCATCATAATGTATTTTATGGTGGTCCAAACCCAGGCCCGCGGGCCCCTGTGGCCCGCCGCTCTATTTTTTGTGGCCCGCGTCGCATTTTCGCAAGGGCAAACAAAACATCGCATTTGGTGTTGTTTCTTCATAAAACCAGAAAACTATTGTGACATATTGTTACAACACTTATGTTATGATTACATCACTGAGTTGACTAGTGTTATGACTAGCTGAGACAACTAGCGAAGTTTAGTAAGGTGTTGTTTGGCTAGCCTAAATTGTCAACTGTTTTTTATATTCTTGGTCGGCTAAAACGGTATATTCTCCTTATGGCATTTTCTTCATTATGGAGATTTTGTGAAATCTCTCAATAAATGTTGATATAGTCAAATTTTTGCACTTTTTTAGTGAGTTTTTTGGTGGTTTTTGCAAATATTTCAGCTTGATAAATGACGAATAATGACCAATGGGTTTGGACAATAAAAGTGTTTGTTTTTGCATATATTGTTTACTTATTCTTGGCACTATTGTGGCCCGCGAACAATACAAAAATTATGATGTGGCCCGCGAGGCCGACAACCTTGGACCACATTGAATTGTATTTCTTAGCAAGACGCAACATGATATGCCGGTCTGTAGAAATCGCGGTCCTTCCAGAATTATTATATTTCAATTTTTATGTAAGTTTAAGGTCATTATTAGGAAATTATGCTTCTAAATATGGACACGTATCTCTGATTATATTTACCAAATTAATATATAATCTATACAGTCACTGTACATACGGCGTCATGCATCAATGAGACATACTGTGAGGATGATCAACCTCAATGCTCTGTAGCACATCTGGAGAATATGACTGATCCTGTTGATTTCCAAAAAATTTATACTTGTAGAACTAAATGCTGTAAACATAACAACTGCAACATTCATTCCACGAAGACTCCGGATCGAGGTAAATAGTTCTTTTTGTATTAGAGTCCCATGTTGTCGGGTACAATCAGTACGGATAGCCTGAAACCTTCCACAAGTTGACTGGCCCCAATATTTAGTTCTGGTAGGCGATTACTCAAGAACACGATAGGATTCGTTTATATTGAATATATTACTCGATGTCAGCATTGTGGTGGCCCTCCGAACGAAGTTTCAAATACCTCTCTGCCTACTTACCCATACGCAGTGTACTTACGCGTATTTTGTGATGCCAGATTGCGACTGGAATCTGAGCTATAGGATAAAATAATAATCATTTTTTTTTAATTTTAAATCAGCCAATATTTTTTTAGCAAGTAGGAAACGCCCTGTAAAAGTAAATGGAGTTAAATACCCACAACTGCAATGTTACACTGGAATAAGAGAGCACGATCACATGGGACGAACGTTAACACACGAACTGGAGGAAAAGACTTGCTTATACGCAGCACACGGTGGAAGAAGAATGTTACAATCCAGATGTTTGTCTGCTGAAGTTGTAACTCGCCAAAACAAATCAGATGCATGTAAGTACTATCAGGCACAGTTCAAATTTAACACATACATTCACCGTTTCAAACTTCAATCAACGTTCTACCAGACGAAGCCCAAGCGAGCACCTAAGACAGTGGTTCTTGAACTTTTTGAGCCGCGCCCCCTTTTGAAAAATTTTACAAACAGTCTTTTTGCTTTGAAAAAATGCTTTTGTGATGGACAGGTTGTTATATATTAAGATGACGCTGTAAGAGTGTTGGTCCCATAGCGTCATTGCTCAGATTGTTTAGGCATAAAACGCATCGGAGTACAACTTCGCCATTCACTGTCATATGTATAAAGCCATACTCAAATAGTAGTCAACTAGTCATCATACATTCTCCCTTTCCGCTCAGTACAATACCTGGTAAAATCAAACTAAGTTTTAGGTGAAACTAAACACGCAATAAACGTATGCTTTTTGCGCTTCAGTGTATTTTTTGCTTAAACGTTTACATGAGACACATGTAAAATTACAATCAATTGTTTACTTGCCTATTGAGCAATGCAAAAACTAATAACTGTGTGTTGAAAATACACAACTTCAGACTTCTTGGCTTGCCTAACATCTCTATGGTGGCCCATCGTTGTCACGCGTAAAATTGAAAATAAAAATAAAAAATAAAATAAAAAACCGATAATAAAAAAATTTTTGTAAAAAAACATAAAAATAATTAAAAAAAAATAAAAAAAAAAATTAAAATTAAAAAAAAATAAATAAATAAAAACAAAAAAAAAAAAAAAAAAAAAAAATGAAAAAAAAAAAAAATTAAAAAAAAAATTGAATAAAAAGAAAATAAAAAGGTTGACAACGATGGTCCGCCTCGTGGCCCATCGTTGTCACGCGTTTTTATTTTTAGAAAATTTGCTTCTGCTTGGGACCAACGTTGTCAGGCATAATCCTACGCGCACAAATGTGTTCCCTGGGTTTCAAACTCACTACTGATTTTCTTGAGCAATATTCAATATGAAAATGTTATATAAATTCTCCATGCTACAAGTTCAACAAGAAGTAATATATTTATAATAATGATAAGAGAATATAGAATTGAATACGAAAATTCGGAAAATTTGTTTTTACGTGTATAAGGTAATTTAATTGGAGAATGCTGCTTAACTACTCAGTTGTCTGGACACTCGCGATGCCGGTACCGTACCGTCTTACCAAATACCGGTAGTCGGTTATAGTCGCTTTGCGTCTGACCGTACCGGTAGCCATACAATCACTCATCATCTCCCATTCTTTCACGAGTGATTGCATGGGTACCGGTACGGTCAGACGATACCGTACCGGCATCGCACGAGTGTCTGAGCAGTTAAGCAGCATTTTCCAATTAAATTACCTTCTACACGTAAAAACAAATTTTCGTATCCAATTCTATATTCTCTTATCCTTATTATAAATGATATTGGTCATGAAAATCAGTAGTGAGTTAGAAACCCAGGAAACACATTTGTGCGTGTAGGATTAAGTCTGACAACGTTGGTCCCAAGCAGCATCAAATTTTCTAAAAATAAAAACGCGTGACAACGATGGGCCACGAGGCGGACCATCGTTGTCAACCTTTTTATTTTCTTTTTATCCAATTTTTTTTTCAAATTTTATTTTTTTTTTTAATTTTTTTTTTTAATTTTAATTTTTTTTTTAATTTTTTTGTTTGTTTTATTTTTCAATTTTTTTTTTAATTTAAATTTTTTTTTTTTTTTTTTTTCAATTATTTTCATGTTTTTTCACAACTATTTTTTTATTTTCGCTTTTTCATTTTATTTTTTCATTTTTTTTTTTAATTTTACACGTGACAACGATGGGCCACCATACATCTCCAAAATGCACTACCAATACCTTTGGACAACCACCAGGTTCAAATATACAGTTTGAAAATGGGGAAGTGCAAATGAATTTATTCATTTTTAATTACTTTTTTTCTTGTTTCCGCATAGAACCATGACACCTGTGAGGAAAACGAGTTAGTTTTAAATATATAATCATCAGCTACAAGATGCTAAAGATAGAATAAAAATGTGAATTCGCCATTAAAAATTTCTTCATTGGAAAAGCGGCAATATGAAATACTAAAAATAAATCGGAAAACACCATGGGTATGTTTTGGAATGAACCGCGGCAAATTAAAAACATGAAAACACTTTCTTAGACATTACAAATCATAAATTTTTTGTGCCCGGCTGCGGCACATCTGTATTGTTCTAATGCTATCGACTTGAAATAAATTTTACTCCGTGGGATTTTATCGCAGACTTAGAAATTTTTCTAATGGTGATATCCTAAAAATATTCTAGTGGCAGCATTGCGATGGAGCGGAGTAAAAGTTGCAGGGACTGCTCATATTGGTCTAATTTGCAATATATAATACAAATCAAAACAAAATGTAATCGGGCAATTTGCCACACATTTTTATGTCCGCGGATTACCGTGGTATTTTGGAGTAATGGTGCTTTTATTTTACCGACGCAATCGCAGATTTAATTTATCACAATTAAATAAATAAAGCAAACATTTTAAGTATTTAGGTCATAGATTGAATATTTTATTCAACAAAAAAATATTACATATCAGTTGTAAAAGTCGGCTCTTTTGTCAGGCGGCGTAATCTCGACGACTGACTCAGGAGCCGTACCGCGGGGATTTCGGGACAATGAATATGTACTTTTGATTTACTAATATACTGTATATGTATTTTCATTGTACTAAATTAAATATACTTTCTGGGATTTTATACCAGATATTTCTAACGACGATAACGAAATCGCATATAATCGGGCAGTTGATCTCACATTATTAGGTCCGCGAATTAGCGTGGTATTTTAGATCGGTAGAGTTTATTTTATTGCGAGTCGCCGCAACAGCGAGTTACCTTGCCTTGAACACAAATGAATTAAAATAGATTTACATTTTGAATTCTTGTAGTTGTAATATATTGAATATTACAAGACAGAAAAATGTAATTTACCGTGGAAAAGCCAGCATTTTTAACGAACGCGAAGACCGATTTCCGATTACATCTTGAGACCACTCGCGTCACCCCCAGTTTAAGAACCACTGACCTAAGATGTAGGCTACAAGTTTCCACTTTTTCAAACTTGGCATATCCGTCTTGGTTTCGGTTGTAACGTGGGCGAAAAACAGTACAATATGTAACAAAATTAATGACCATAGCGAACTTTAACTTCAGTTTTGTCCAGAAGCCCATGCAATATATATATATAATATTCTGCATTCTATAAAGATCAGTTATCAGTCCAAGATCAATAATAATAAGAATGTCGAGCCAGATTTGCAGTTGTACCGGGTCGTACTCTGTGGTTATAAACTTGGCTGTGAACGAAGATTGACAAAATACGATAATGCTCGTGACATTACTAAAGTCTGCGTTACATCTTACATGCACAGCTAGCATTAGCACTGACTGATAGCCTTTGCAACGTTGTTTTGAATACTTTTCAATGTGATATATATATATATAAAACTTTTAAATCATCTTTTAGAAGTGATACATATAAACTATCTTTTTACAAAGATTTCAAGATTAATTTTTTTTTGGACTTGCAATAATGTATATCTTTAATTCAGTACCATTGGTTACAACGCTGTCACACTGCCTACATCTATCCATGTGTAGAAGCCTGACGTGTGACGAAATGCAAGCCAAGCTTACAAAAGACAAGGACGTAATAGTGGAAAGATGTAACATAACTTGCTGTAGTGAAGATTTTTGCAATGGAGCAACGCGTAACAGTCTGTCCAATGTTTATTTAATCAGAGTTACGTTAACCATACTTCTAACTTTGTTATATGTCAGTTGAGTGTTTTATGAGACATTGTTAATAAAAAAAATCCGGTCCGGTCTAGGGAAGAATCGTGACCACGATGTCATATTCAAATTCTTAGCATTCCAAGTTTTTCGTTTGCTTTTCAATTAGTTAACTTTTTTAATTATTATGAAGTTGGAACTTGCTACACATAATTTAATTTTGTGTTTCAAGGATTTCCTATCTCTCACTTCAACATTATCATTCGATAATTCATATATTAACTTCTAATCTTCGACTAGTTAGTTAGGGTATTGGATATCGTCAGAAAACATGCTGTTTTTTTTATTCAGTCTTAGTTTCACACCGTAGTCAGTAGTGTATATAAATCTCTGCTAATTACTAGTATATCGTAGCAGGTGACTAATATCGGATGGTAACTTCAAAAAAATCTATTCACTTATTAGAGAGTGTCAAAAAAAGCTACGTTATCACTGTTTTTGCTTCTGCTTCTTTGTTTCGTTATTTTTCTGTATTTTAATTTCAGCAAATTCTAAAAATAAGAAGAAAAAAACATACAAAACAAACATGGTCTAACTGCATAGACAATGGCAACATAGGGCCATCAAGTTTTCGAATGACGCAATAATTGACCAATCAGCATTTTTGGGCGTGTAAACTAGGACGGCTGTATCTACTGTCTTCCAAAACTGATTTTTTTCGAATGAAATATACTATCGATATTTATATTGTTCATACTAGAATAAAAATTTCAGGCCACTGGTTTGGTCGATTTGACGGCGTTAGAACGCAATATGATTGTGAGTGAAGTTGCGGCGTTAGATGTAATGCCAATTCATTTGAAATATTTTTTATGAATATTGGGAGCATTTTCCACGCGGATATAATCCACTCTGCCCGCAGAAAAGGCCAAATTCAAGCCCAAGTAAGATCCAAGGTAACGTTTGCATATATGATACACGATTTAGTCACATGGTGGCTCGAGTCTCGAAATTTATTTAATGGCAATATATATATATCATGATCGTCGAAGAGATCTGAATCAGGAACAGACCATATCACCCGAAGAGTGCGCAGGGCTGATGCCAACTGTGCATAAAAGATGTAACGCCTTTGACGTTAGTAACGTTACGAGCTTTATCGTATTTTGCCCTTCTTTGTTCACACCAGCACTGGGTCAGGAACATGTTTTTTGCCCAAAGCCACTGGACTATCCGCCGGAGGTGAATTGTCTTTTATCTAATAAAAAAATGAACAAATTGATACAAACAAGAAAACACTTGGGCGTTAAAAGATATTGCGATTTTTCGAAAAATATTGAGAAAGATGTTGAGGAAAAACGAATAGCGTAGCATGAATAGAATTTGATTGATTGGATGTGAGACTTGGTGTAATTAAAGTCAATGCTCAGAACAGCATACTTATACGAAAAGCAATTGACAAACTTAATAGCAAGCAAGTCATTCTTTCAGGTGGTACCCACAAAAAGAGAAAAACTGAACAATATATTTAACGTAATTCAAGAGTCGTGCTGAGAGTTAGTCTCGCGTAACCTCCACTGATAAATATATTCAATGTTGCTGTCTCGTCGGAGTTTTACAAATCCTCTATTACTATTCTTAACAAAAGACTATTGAATGTAAAAACATGCAAGAAAAATGATGGGGATTGATACAATATGAAAGTAATTCATCAAGAATATAGGCAACGAGTGTTTCAATATGATATCAGGTAATTATAGATAGGTGCTTGGATAAATATAAGTTTGGGAAACACTAATTATTCTTCAAATTGAAGCTTTCAACAACGTTTTATGGAATATAAATAATAATAAGCTTAGTGAAACCCAGTGACACAAAATAAAATGCAAATTTTCGAAAATGATAGTAACAGATTAGATAATACTTAAATAATACTTAAATTTGAACTGTTCACGTAAGACGTTGGAATTGGGACAAAAAAATACATTTTAGTTACCCTTTTAAACCAATTCATGTGTGGTAGTCCAGATGGTTTTGTTCTTGGTGGATTTGTTGGTAATCTTCCCACTGGTGGTCGACTGGGGAGACTCGGTGGCCTTGTATCATTATCTCGTGTTGATTGTGTCTGTATAGAAAAATAATTTGTTCATTCAAAATACAGGATTCAAGTTATGAATGACTCATATAGTTTTAAAACGAGATAAAATGGAGTTTTGAACTGGTGTCTACTATAAAATATTATTACTTGCTGTTTGCCGCATCCGAATGTATTATACGAGATCATAAATCACGAACATCGTGGGTAAACTTATACGTTCAGTTGTTACAACTCAATGATGTGTGGCTTTATAGTTAAATGAAAACTTCCGATGAACTTGAGTTTTTTTTTAAGTAGACCAGATTATAAAGCACTTGATAAGTGAGAGCAAGTGTTTGCTTTCGAATCATTGCCATTTTGACTCAGAGTCCTTCATAAAAATGATATTTGAATATTATTGGCGGTCACACGTTTCTCATCAAAGTTTTGGACTGCACTCACCCCACTTAACTTTGAATGTCAACTGACCACTGAGACCCATTAGTTCGTGTATATTTTTCATGTTAACATTGAATTGATTTTACATTAAAAACTTTCATACCTGCATATGTGACTTGTGTTTTTTGCTTTTACTCTGTCGCAATAGTGATGCTTCATCGTCATCAGAAGGCTCACGTGCGGAAGTTGAAAGTTCAATTGTGTTTGCCGCTAATGTTGATTCAGACTCGGCGCTTCTCTGGGATTTTTGGGAAGTTTTTCTTTTTAGCGACAAAGCTTCAGGTTTTTTAGAGCTATCTATACTACTTGGTGTTCTTAACACCTCTGGAATGAATCCTCCTCGCTTTTTGTATCTGGGCGGAGGTGACCGTTGAAGTGACGTCGGAATAAATGGTTTGGAAGCCATACTTCCGGTTTTGTCACTATAACTTCCGGGGTTAGAAATATCTCTTTTGTTACGCTGAGAAGGTATTCGCTTCATACTCATCATAGCAGATTCTCCCAAAAGTATATCAGATTCGCCATCTCTGACTGAATCTGTTAAATTATCGTTATTCATTGAAGAATTTTCGTCGTGGTTACTGTTTGGATTCTGGTTATCCATTACTGTTTGTTTTAAAAGTGCTGTATCATATTGAGTAATATTTTCGTTTTCGCTCAGTTTTTCGGGTGAAGTTTTAACCCCCTGTCCAGCACCACCATTTTCACTTTTGTTGGCTTTCTTCGAAGGATTACGTAGCAAGAAAGATCGTCTTCCTCTTTGTGAAAGACTAGAATTTCGGCTAAATGGAGATTTAGAAGAGGCGCGACGAACAATCGCACTAACTCGATCTGGAGTTTTTGGATTTAACTGAATGTTAACTTCCGTTAATTTCCAATCATTCCTTTTATAGTAAATATACGATATTATAATAATCCATCCGTACATCTAAAAAAACAAAAACAGCCTTCGAAAATCGACCAAAATGAGAATCAGCAATGGGTTATTCATGTAAAGGCAACTTCAACTTAGAATTTTTATACCAAATATTCTTACCAAACTTAATCCACGAAACCAAACTTCAATTAAAGATAAAACTCCAAATGAAGTAACCTGGAATAAAAATAAGCAGAAATAAGCAAAGTCTGAAATTAACAAGAGATCATCGAACTAAGAATTTTCCCATTTTCCAAGATAATATAAAAAATGAATTGCCTATAAAAAAATAACGACAAGCACGTCGTGTGCTGGTGATAAGCTCGTTTCTGATCCTCTAAATCCTCCAATACCGCTTAAATTTACATACTCAGAAATGAAGGAAATTGCTTAAAGAATACAGTTGAGAATGGGTGTAAATTAAAGTGATAGGTGATACTAAAATATTATTTAATATCCCGATTACAATATTGGAACAAGTCATTACGTGAATTAAATAATAAACTTTTGTAACGTAGTAAAATGCTCCGCATAGCACCATGAAATAAACTGCAGTTATCACAGTGTTTATTACAACTAACTGGTCAGAAAATATCATTTTTAATACATTGTTAAGTTTATCATAGGAAGACTATGTTTTCTTAAGCAAAATACCTCTGGTGTTAGAAAAAGTGCAGCATAGCAGGATCCCTTTATAATAATATCGGTTAAGAAACATCCTGGAATGATTACAAGTGTTGGATAAAGAAAGAAAACGTTGTTCTGAAAATAAATAATGTTTGTTCAGTCATTTGATCATCCTCCAATTAAAGCCCCAATATGACTAGTGGTATAGTTTTAAATTAGCATGAAAATTAAAAATTAAATTGAAATAAAACTTTTGAGCTTTGCTACCATTGGATTTTCATGTAACAAACCAGTGTGGGGCCGATGTGGTGATCCGACTAAATGCTATGGTTGCAACTCATGGCAAGGGAAAAATTTTCAACCTTTTTGGTCGAGTTTAGGCTAATACATAAAACTTTCAGAAAATCATGGCCCGTTTTTGCCCATGCACTCACCGTGGCAGTTTGTGCAGGGGGAAAAGCGATCGAAACACGCTTTTGCACTGTTGATTACTCTGGAATTTTTTCGAAATTTGAATGCCGCAGGGGCTGTGAGATGATTGCTGAACTTCTAGACGTCGGCATGTTGATGGATATGGAACCCGACACTGACTAGTAACCAGGCGAGAGGCTGTGGTTTTAACATGAGAGTAACCCGCCCTATCTACTTTCCTCTCCCCCGGAATTGATATGAAATACCCATCATATTATATAAGTTTGTGTAACTCCTATTAAACTGATTATTTAAACCTAACTTCTAAGTCCAATAAACTTACCGCCCACAACCCAATAAGAATAACAATGCCATTTGCTACTTGAAGAGATAAGAGACCAAATTCAATATAAACGCCGATGATTTTTTCAGCTGAAAAATAAAATGAATATGCATGATTTGCTGTTTTCGAAGGGACAAAAAGTTAATAGGATAGAACTTTGACAAAATAAGTAAGACATGATTAATATATGGCTGTGGGTTCAAAGCCAAACTTGACTTTTGATGAGTAAAAATATCATCTCCATTTTCAAATAAGATTACAAAATTTTGATTGTGATTTTGTGTTTCAACTTCAGGGATCAAGTTTTCAGAATTTTAGACTCATAGTTTTGGGTTACTATCCATATATGACCAACATATTGTATTGGATTTTTTCGCTTTTTTTCAAAGTAATGGCTTAAAAATATAATGAACCATGAATATGTTAAGTTTGCAGATAAAACACGATTACAAATATTACGAATTGAAACGTAAGCTTCGGAGTACACTAAATTAAAGTGTGCCTAATACCAAGGTCTTTGCCTTAAATAAAATTTCATTTATCTTGGCAACGGTTTGTTTACAGTTGTGACTCATGTATTCATCATCGTTTATACGTCAAACACATTATATCGAGATTGATATTTTTGCCGGATTCCCAAGAGAATGCTAATATCGTTTACCTGCTATTTATAACGCCTCAAATAACAGCACGCGCTTACTATTCATCACGTACCACACCATATTCAACATTGCATATTTTTCATTTGAAACGCGCTCAAAATAACGGGGTTACCGCCAAATTGTTCTTAATAATTCAACACCTCAATGTAATCAGACGAAGTAAGTCAAGTTCACCTCATGAACTAGCCTTTGATCACGATAGTGAAATTCACTGAATTTAAACTTTCTAAAAAATGTAAACAAAATAAGCTTTCTTTTATTATAACATTAGGGAATTTTGTTAACCTAGAGTTGAATCTGCACCCAATGTACCACTCAAGTGATCAGCACGTCAGGATTGAGTTGCAAGTGACGCAATCAATATATCAAGATCTCCGTTGGAAATTTTGAACCTTGTCTCGTCACACAGTGCAACTTTCAGAAATATTAAGTAGCACAGGCCGTAAATAGCCATTGCAAAAAAGTCTGTGTCTAGCGATTGTTGGATATAACACTGAAATAAAATGACGAATGATCTATTCGAAATTAAAATATTGAATTGGTACGACCCGGGGGTTAGTCAAAAGAACGAAAGATATATTCAGAAGGTTGTAGATTGGCATCTCTACTCGTACTCGGACGGTCGCGACAACAAGATATATAATGTTAGATTTGACATACTTAGCACATCGGATGGATGAAGGATTCTCAGTAAGATTGTGGATAAGCAATATAATATAGGTGAATTCTAAAATTGAACTTTTAATAAACGATTTTCAACGTTATTTTTTACTTCAAATAGCATTTGATTTTCTGCAATTTTGAAAGACTGAAAAAGGCGCCGCTATCACCATATTTGGAAATTATTTTCCCTAAATCTCTTTGATTTAACGTTTTTTCTCATTCAATTCCTCCAACCCGACAGATATGAAACATACTTTACCTGTTTGCGGTAAAGTATAATCGATAGACTTTAAACCCCACGACGAAAGCAGTAGAATTCTTAGTGTGCATCCAAGCTGAAATGCAGATTGAGAAATTGTGTATTTATCCAAATTACAGTGTTTTTGATGTGGCATAAAAATTGTAAATTCTGCACAAAAAGCAGTCAGCCAAATTTGTGAAAAATTCCTTTTTTGTATAAAATATTGTTTGACGTTCATGTTGTTTGACGTTCATGTTGTTCCACACTGTGGGCATAACTTGTACATAAAAAAATTCTAAAATTTAAAAAATAGGCCATGTTTTTATCGTGAATGATGAAACGAAAATTTGAATGATGCACTGTGGCAATTCAGCTACATTAGGCAACAAAAAATAGTAAATTTAATTTCCATTTTTACAGAAATTGTAATTATCTTAATCACTCATGAAAAATACTTACGATAAAGAATCAATTAAACTTACAATTTGTTGCCATCCTGTACTCGTAACCCCGCCTGCTAATGATCTTCGAATACAAAATACTTTATATCGTGTAACAATGGGAATTTGTACAAGTCCGCAGCCAATAGTTTTCATATTATACTGATTTGCGCTACAGTAATAATCTGAAAAAAGTAAAATTGCATTCATTCATACTTTATGTGCTGGAAGTTTGCATGAAGTGTTTAGGGAATTCAGATTGAACATTTGTGTTAAGATACCATTATAGCATCATTTTTAGGCATCACAGCGTTCATTTTTGAGGAAAAGCGAGAAAAACTGTACCCGCTTATTGAGGAGGGAAAAAATAAAATGAAAAAAAATCTTGGCTATTCATTGTGACAAATTCGTATCAAGCGCGGATAAATTTTTGGCTGGTATTATGAATCACCAATGTTTCGACAGTATTTGGGTAAAATATTCTCACTATATTACTGGTATTCTCCATATTTTGATGCCATGATAAATATCAGTGTGAGTTTTGTGCAGAGGTGCCTGGCCGGTTGACGCTTATCTTTTGCCATGTTTACGTAACCGCACAAAGCTAAGGTGGATTCACCGAAAGGTTACACCTCGTTTATTGCATGCTAAATGCTATTTAACGCATACTATTTTTCGCGCATGAATACTTTGCCCTGCCCCTTGGAGAGACGAATTATCGCCGTAGGTCCCGTTATAACATTTCCTAGCATCGTTTACTAGTAAAAGGAAATACTCGATGTAAAAATAGACGAAACTTGAACAGTATTAAGCTCCTTAACGCAACTTCAATATTTAAATTTCACATTCTAATATCATAAAATTGGTTGTGGGTTTCCAACATGGATTTGCGTTCGGCTCGCATTACTAGTTGGTATTTATTTAATTTCGCATTTTCTATAATCCAAAATATCATATTATAAATTTCTAAATTATATCTAAATATACAGCGTTTGCAGCCCCGACGTGACCTTGTTTTTCACATGACTCAGATTCACAATAATTGTTCCAAATCATTCTATCACGAGCTTCTATATCCCAACGAAGTATTTACTGCGAAGATAATATGCAAATGTTTTCCAGAATGGCAGCTAAATCAATTAAAACGAAAAGCTGCGTTAGAGCTTTTTTCGACTCATCTTATAACTTATTCGCGCTCTGTCGTAACCATCTACACATGAGGCCAAATAGACTTATTGCAGCTTGCGGTCGAAGCTCACATAATTCTTACTAAAACTAAATACCTACGCAATTATGGTTTGATTGTACACCACCCTCTATTGCAGTGGTTCTTAAACTGGGTTCGATCGAACCCCTGGGGTTCGGTGGAGCTGTTCCACGGGTGTGACAAGGGTGCTCTGAAACAGTTGCATATTATGAGACTTTTTTATCACCCTGCATTCTAATTATGCAAAAATAACTATAGTTCATGATGACTAATTACTAATGACTTGAACAATTGAATGAAACAATTAATTGGTGTTACCCTTATTCATATTCTACCGTACTAATAAAATTTAACTCAATTTTACGGATAAATCGAAGATAGGCAGTAATTGTACATGAATGAATGCAAAATCATAGCGTGTTTGAATTTCACTAGGTGATAAATTTGCGACAAGGAATAGTTTATCGCAGAGCTTTACCCGAAATTATCATGATCCATTCAGGACAACCTCGATATGGCGCCGAATTAATCATATCTCTATTTCTGTAAAATAAAACAATTGGCAAACGATTTTATTCGCATTTCAGCGCAGTTTAAAATTTGAGAACAAACTGCTTGAACTACCAACGTTTATGGGGTATATTATCATCTTTCGGATTTTCAAAGTTATTTTTTATCAGTTTTCGCCTGTTCACCCGCATAACTTATACAACAAAAACCATCTGCTTTTTCTGCCGCCAACGCCATTGTGACAAAACAATGGTTATTCCCACATGGTTATTGATATCTAAGGTTTCATCACAATGTTCATATTCTATAACCTTGCAAGAATTAGCTTCCGCTTTATGACGTTACGGTTTGGCTTCTAATTTCAACCGTTCAGTACAATGGGGTTCGGCGGGAGCTTGCAGAATAGCGCAGGGGTTCGGCAGGCTCACAAAGGTTAAGAACCACTGCTCTATTGTAACGCATACGCTTGCGATTTCTGTAAATTTCTATAAAAGGTCTGTTGGTGGAGCGTGTCGCGCAGACGGCGATCCTTGCGCAGTATACATATGTTAGAATGGCATCTGTAAAATTCTAAGGTAACAAATAAACACCTATTTCAAGTATTGGATGCATACTTAATGAGCTTTTAACAATGTACGTATCGTCATTGTTAAGCGATTTCCTGAACGATATTCTAGCTTTTTGCTACTTACTATACTGCGCAAACTGACAAAGAAAAACGCCTGTAGCCAGGTACGTGGTAAACCTCTACAAGTACGCCATAACTCGAGTACAATAGCAAAGCGTGTTATTATGAATTCTTGAGATTTATCCAATCTTTCAAAAATTTGAATATGCTCCAATCTAGTCCTTCATATCACTATTGTTTACGTGGGCTCATATACACACTAAACAAAAACAGACGCTGCGTTAGAGATACAAATAACCTAATGTATACAAAACAATACTCGAATGACATATTCTCGCTAACCATAAAACGTTGAATTAATCAATTCCAATATCCATCTCGACCTGCTGTGCAATAAGCTGATTTATTTATTCCCTTCAATAACATAACAGGGTGGATTTTAATTTTAATCGCACGGATACTGGCCATTAGCTCAATGAGGGTTGCCAGCCTTTGACTGAAGTCAGTGAATTAAACTCGCAAGGCACTTGCCCTCAGGATATGTTGCTTTTCCTGAAGGTAAAGACTCCGTCTGGTCTTTAATTAGCACTTATTCTTTATAACATAGTTGGAATATAGTTGTCTTATGGAATGTTACATATATGGCGCACACCTACTAGTGTCTTGAACGCGTAATCACAGTTATCAATATTTTGCAATTGATCTAACTAGATCACGAGTTGCGTGACGTCTAGTAAAATGCATGCAAAATGTTCAGTCACAAATGTAAAATTTGTGAAAACAGTCAATTTGTTCATAAAGCGGCGGCATCTGGTAATCGGTTAGAGAAAGCGTCGCTATTTGTAATGCCCTTGTTGGCGTGTCTTAGAATTGAATTCCAGTCAAATGTTGTCCTTTGAGAGAGACATGTATGCTGCTTCATCCACCGGCGACTAGTCATATTCCCCAAGAAGAATTGCATAGCGTTGCCTTTAAAGAGGCTCTTTACAGTAGACCACTCAGTGTTAGGAAACTACTACATACTATGAAATATAATTTACCCTAAAAGAAGATTTGTCTAACACTGTTCAAACACAAGACATACCTCATAGTTGTCCTTGTGATATAATTAATGTCATAGTATTCCCTGCCAATATTTTACATATCTCATTCTCAAGCGCGGCATAGACGGAATTTATTAGCAATAAAAATTATAAACAAATTTAATGATTTATCGATGAGTTTATACTATAGAACGGGCTTAAAATATATCTAAACATGAAACTAGTTTTAACATTAAATAACCCGTAGTTTTGCGATTGATCCGAGTTGCTAAATTTTTCATATTCCATGAAAGTTCATCACGACAAACTTCTCGTGTCAAGCGTGCTGAACACTACCGGTACATAATAAATCGTTTTGGTCTGATTTATATGATAAATACTGTTTTGAACAATTACTCAATTCTAGAATACAATATTTGATTAGTCATAGTCAAGACTGTGGTGCGTATAAGACTAAAGCGACAATAATAATGTATTTGTTTGGCTCGTAGTGTAACGAAACTAATTCGGACTATGTGTGATAATTGAGTATTAAAAGTAACTTTATCCATGCTACACATGGACAACATTTGGTATATATATGCCCGCTGGAGATGTTCAATGAAATTTGAAAAAGAGTGATATAATATAGATATAATCAATTGAACTTAGTACTAATTATTTGAAAATCCAAATGAAAAAAATATAAAATGATTAAATATCAACTATTCGATAATAGACATTTCCACTAGTAACAAAATTCACCACAATCGATTCCGTCTCGATATGCTTCTAACTGCATGACTCACGTCAACTTTCCGATAAATGACAATGCGGTTATTTAAAAAAGCCTACACATTTATAACTGTGTATCGTTAACACGGTATCGCCAGCACTTTCGACGGTGTGTCTAATTTATTATCACCATGATATAGAACAGTAGTCACAAGCCGTTGTTGGTAATTAACAGTTTTCATTTGAGTTGATCATTTACAAATTATATTCCCATTTCTAGACATAGAATAAAAATGTTTGGATATAGGCTGGACTCGCACCCCACAAGCATGATTCAACGATGTACGATGTTTTTTTTGTTTTCGGAAAAATACAATCAATTCTCAGATATTACGAAATATAGAAATCATTTTGAAATTATTAACTTGAACTCAAGTTCAACCTGTACAAATGATAAAGATGTAAAAGGATACCACGGCATACCTGCTTGTTCCTGGCACGTATAACCCACAACACACCTTCTTTATGATCTGAATGGTACACTTCAGAACAACAATTAAAAAGTTTGCTGAGTAAATGTTGTCTGTTATACTTGAACATCATCAAACACTAGCACGTAATGACCGAAAATACCTCTGAATCTTATAAAACAACGCTTTCAATTTTATCTTTTTACGATGTAACAGAGCAAAAACCTAACAATCATACGCTTTGAAAACTTTGACTTAACACTGTTACTTGGAATAATTCCAAAACAAAAAATAAAATCTCTTCATGACTTTCATGACGATATCACCATCTGCCATTTTAAATAACTTCAGTACGAACATATATACTACTCTGTGCTTGGTCTGCTTTTATATCAGCCGATTAACGTTTCATTAGATGCGTCTGCCACAAATAAGATGCTTTAACATTAGGGCGGGTCTTGAAACGTAACTGGTTCAAAGGAAGACTGCTAATTTTGGCCTTTCCTCCTGTATAATATTTGATTAACCGTTAGAACACTGGCGTCGTGAATATGATAAAGAAATAAGTCGATGTAAACAGACTGATATTTCCAATATAGGATATTAGAAAACGTCATTTGAAATGTTACTTACGGAAAACTTTTGAAAAACGTTACCTATATACATGAATTTTTGAGTTATCCTACTCTTTACTTTGATCAAATTATATTTTAATGGATTTTTCGAGGAATTAATTTCAGCATAATTCAGGAATAGAGATTAACATAAGAAAGCTTTCTGTGGATTAGATTTTTAACAAGATTTTTTTTCTTGCGATATGAAATTAATGTAATCTACATTTTTTTTTATAGTAGTGCGTAATATATTAGGTTCTAAATCAAGCTACGTTAACCATTAACGTTGTCATGCAACTTTTCTTTGGGATAGGTTTGTCCATCAGACAGCATGATAAACAATCTACGTGTAATAGAGAGCGATTCTCAATTGATTATGGTTTGTATATCATGTTTATGAAAGTGCTAATGGGCATCGGGAAAGCGGTATCCATTTTGAAACTTGAACAATATGCAAAACATTCTACAATGTCTGAGATTAGGGTTAGTAGGCCTATAGTACAAGATTCGATATTCAATCGTTTTAATTCTACAAATTTTCTCAACTATTCATCTGAAATTCAAGGCTTTCAAATTAATCATATTCGCAGCGAAATTCGAGAATATTCATATTTAATGGTAATGGTAAAAAAACAATTTTAAATTAAGTCATTATGATTACATAGTATAATAAAGCTTCCAAATATCGATACTCGAATGCATAATTTAGGTCACAATATCTAGACATAGATAAATATTAAAAATTCATATTAAATAAACCATTCATCTTGCAAGATATATTCAGGTTAGCCGATCAAATAGCTTACGATTCTCATTCTACCATTTGTCCTCGAACACGTGATACCGATTTCCTCTGTCGAACTGTCCAAAACTATATATCTGTCAAAATGGGGTTTACTACATTTCAAAATGTCTGACTTTCATCTCGCTCGTTACATTGACTGTCAGCTCTGCACTGTTGTCTTAGTCTGAAATGGTATCAGGTGTCTAAGAGCTTTCTTACCTCAACTTCTGTGACTGCACGCTTGGTTGGCCCTCGTGAACACAAGTCCTGTGAGGCGTGAACACCACAATACACCGAGTCAACATCGGGTATATAAATTATTGCTAGCAGGCAAATTTTATCCAAAGATACGTGTTGGTGCAACATCGAAAATCACAATGATGATGGCTATTGAGGTTCAAAGCAGACTTTTTCAAGTTCTTCGGCAAACATTCGAACCAACACATGAACCGTGAAGCTAGAAATTCTAGAATGACTCTTTATATTCCATACTAAAGTTCTACATTATGCAATGAGATGTATATATAGCATAATTGTTTAAAGTTGTTATGTCTTACGTGTTATACTATAATGTATATCACGTACAGTGTGCGTGGGTAAGCTTTTAATGATTGGTTATATCAATTCAAAGGACAACTCCAATGATTTATGAATAAAATTCCCGTATATGGAATTTACCCACAGCTTCAAGTACCACTAACACTCTTACCCACTGTCGAAAAACTACTGCGTTTAATTTAATTAAATAACGTATTTCCCTCGTCATTATTCAGATTGAATAACTCACTAACGGCCTTTAAATATAAATTACTTTCTATGGCGAACGACTGACATTAAGGCATACTCCTCGAAAATACCCCAGAGCATATTATATGATCATAATATTAGGCGACACGAATCCCTTCACCCTGGCTTTTGTTCTCTCTAAATATGAGACCGATCGAAGAATCTGTGTGAAATAATGAGCTCTGTATATAATGGAATAATCAATAAGGTAGTGCTAATCCGAACAATTGGGTTTTAGAGAAGCCAGAAAATAACCGACAAACAGGCGTACGACATCAATATTTCACGAGTTCTACGTTAAAACAGCCAACGCGCCGTCGCAAAAGAAGAAGATTAAACTGCTGATTGTCAAAAATTGTCGTCGTAGAAAGATCCCTCCAGCGACAAGTTTTGAGTTCTCCAAAACTGAGCGATAATGTTCTTTGCGGATGCTTCAAAAATCGACGGATCTGTTTATCAAATTTAGAACAGAACAGTCATGAGATCTGGCCATGTAAAGCAGCATGGCCTATTTTACCCAATTATTATATCTTGTTAGCAACATCATGCATTTTCCCTGCAAATAATTGAGTTTTATCATACCGAGATATTTTTGACCAACAATCGCCGAACTCTTAGTATCTGTGTTCATACCTAACATCATATATTAGGAATGAGCTGTTGTCATTCCTATACGACTACACGTTCTCTGTTCAAAATCTTCACCAAGTGTGCATATTCATAGATACCGGTATCTATTATTTATCGATGATTTTTTTTAATAATTTCCATCCAACTAAATTAACTTGCGTCTTTTTTTGATAAGTTTTGAAATTTATAAAAGATTTATTGATTAAATAATGGCTCGTTTTCCTTGCGGCTACCGCAATGGCCCACCGGAACCAATTTTCCGGCGGCATATCAACGACTGCTGATCACCCAAGGTGTCTTGGATTGAGTGGTTTTGTCGTCCCAAAAGGATGTCTATGGAGTTTTAATACGACATGCAACACCAATAGTAATACTGAATGAAATCCCTGCGCATATTCTGACTTCAATCATTTTTAGTGTTACGAACCAGGTTCATGCAAAATGTGCAATATTCTTGTAATATATATTATACTCGAACACGGTATTAAATAGTGTCAAACGGAAATAAGATCGGTATTTTTTTAGAGGATACCATTGGTAAAATGGCCTAAAATGTCAATATCCATTTATATTCCTCCTCTTCGTATATTTTCCTATTTTAGAATCGTTCTCAACCATTTTATAGATTTGTATAATCGTACATTTTGACATATTTTTGAGGCGCCACACGAATTAAAATGGTCTGGACCGTTATTAGTAGTTTAATAGCTACAAAACACGGCATTTACCACAAATGTGTAGTAAAATTTCTCGGTTTTGAAGATGAATGTATAATAAAATATCACTGGGAGGGAATGGGTTAATGAAAAGGTATTTTTTTCAACAAGCTACGATAAATAATTAACCAGAAAAATCATGTATATTTTACATCAATTTTATATCAGTGTTATTGTTCCGTTTTGAACACGTGATCAAGAGATATTCAAGTTGATTCGAGTGCTGTTCAGGTGTTCTTCATCATCAACAAAAATATTTTTTACGTTTATGCGCTTTTACGTTTCAGCGTAGAAAAGATGCGAATTATGAAAAAATCGAAAGTTGAATGGTAAATAAATATAATTATCAATGAAAAACAATGAAACAAATTTTATTACGCACAATTATTAGAAATAAAAGAAGAGTAAACAGATGTCCGTTCATTGGCCCACAAGGTTCATTTATGCTTTTCACTAGAAATAGAGTAATTTTTTAAATTACCTTAAAATTTTGTTAGTCATTTCACCGTTTGTGAAATTGTGATAGTGACACTTCAAGCGACTCACTTCACTTGAAGATGAGTGCATCTTTCCACACGACATGTTTTATGAGAAGTGGTCTCGAGCAGATGTCTTTTCATATTTACAAAAGTTGATCCTATAAGCATGACAGAAAGTTACGATTTAGAAATGACAAATCGAGGTGGACATGACGAACAGGACGTGTTTTCATCTTGTTCTTCCGTGAGAGATAGAGACCAAGTTATCGAAGAAGCAATCGAAACGTTATCGGCAATCGGCAGAAACGATTCAACTTTAAATAACAACTTCTGGACAGGTATTTTTAAACAGTCCAAATCAAACTAGATACACTATAGTCTGCAAGCCGGGGTTTCGGTGCCGGCTCCACGTTTCATGTTCGCACCTGACAGATATAACCAAAAACACATATACTGTAAACTTTTATTTCGATTTTAAATATATGAATTATTTCTGCCCATAGAATCGGAGAACGAAGAGTTCGAACTACACCAACAGTCTACAATCATGGTTGATGGCGATGGCACGGCAGAATGTTTAATGTCACACAAAATGCAAGATACCGACGTTTTGCAATCCCGCGTAATCGGTGAAAAGTTGGGAAAATCTAAATTAGAATCGAACAACAATACAAATTTTGATGAAAGTTTCAAACAGAATCAGACGACCAGTGTTAACTCGACGAGAACAAAATCGCGTCAACATCAGGTTGCAAAAAAAATGATGAATCGTGTTTCAACTCCCGTAAGTCGTAAGAGTGTTCGATCTAATCAAAATACTTCCGAGGATAATGTTGCTGCCACCGGTATAGAATTAAAATTGAGAGCCGTTAAGAAAGCTTGGCCGAAATTGCCAAACGGTTTTCCAATGAAACCGAGAGATGTTTCAGCAACTTCAACGCCAAAGACATATTCCCGATCAAACACACCTAAACAGGATGTGAGATTGCTAAGAACACCCGAAGATCAACACGGATCGCTGCATGGAAATGAGGTAATTAAAACTTGCGTTGAAGCACCTCGAGTTAAAACAGTATGTGTAACTTTCCATATCGTCACGCTAATAACCGAATTGCGTAAGTCATTTTTGGCGATTTGGAGTATGTAATGCTGCGCACCTGTCTGTTAACTCAGGTTTTATTTTAAGAATTCCGAAACCCATATAAATGGAGATTTAGTATGACATGCACATTTGTGCAATTGTTTCGTCATAATGAATTATCATTGTTACCGCATGACTATTGTGACGTCACAAAGGCAAAATGACATCGTCGAAGTATTTTCGAGCTTTTGCATCTCGGATTCTAGCTTAGCGCGTATTCATTTGAATTTATACTACAGTATAGGAAGGCGTGCACTTGTGATATTCACTGTCCGAGTCCAATTCATCGTGGTTGGATTTTATATTGGGTGCATTGCTGTTTTATTCTTTATATTTAATCTTAGTCTTATTTCGGTGGGTGTGCAGAACGTGTTATATTGATGAAATATATATTTTTAAACATAAAAAATAATGTAATTGAAACTGATTAGCTATTTTGGGGATTATACATTGTAGATACTGAGAATTACATTCGTTTTTGGAATGTTTAGTTTTCAGGACTGGTGCATATAGTAAAGTTGCAAAATTGCGTGTGTCCCCAAGTCATAGACACATTTCTGCCTAAGTCACAGTGCGCCATTATGACGTCACTTAACTGCGTCATACAAATTAACTCAAATCCGGCTACGATCAAAAAATTGAACCATGGCAAATTATTGACTCTCAATGGCATAACAATATCAATAGGAAGTTTTTTACGCTTTTCTCAAAACTGCTAAAAATGACTTACGCAATTCGGTTATTAGCGTGACGATATGCTACAAATGTATTATATATATTAATATAACACAATAACTTATCAAACCCTTTAACAAAAGAAATTTCATCGTACAAAATTTAAAATTCGAATTTTGTCAAAATAGATAAATGCAGTAAGTAGATGATGACATCTGCCGGGCCCACGACATTATTTACGTCAAGCATTCATAATTTTTCACACTCAAAAAACAAAACGCTTCACAAGTTAAATGAAAGATAAATAAAATGTTTCTGCAAAATTACTCATTCGGAGTACTCAATGAAGCGGCCTTAAAAGTGAATGTATTGGTAAGAAGTTGAGAGCACTCATACGAGTTGTTCGGGCTTTTCAAAACCATCTTCGGCAAAACTCTTAGATTACTTGACCCGTACATTCTAATACATACTATTTATACATATCTAGAAGTATGTATAACATAAACTTAGTAATGGATACTTTGAAATACCTTTCCTATATCATATTTTGTATAATTAACTGTTTGGTTTTCATTACATCCATAACTCGATATTGACAGGTGAGTCCAAAGTCTTCGAGAGGAAAGTCTAAACTTGATGGAGTTAGTACAGAAGATCTTCATTGCAATTCAACAAGTAAAGCTTCCAATAAAACTACGGATATTTTGATAAATACTGGTATACAAATTTTGATGAATTTACATATATATTTATTCATGTAATACGGACTAACGTTTTCATTTCCAGATTGCCAAATTTTCTATTTCAAACAGATTTGAAATGCAGAAATGTAGGAGGAAGTTTAGACACATTGAACTTACGCGCATCATCCGAAAACACGCAGTTTTAGTGCTATACAAAAAAATGCTTTTATCAATATTTGATCAAAAATATGTAACGCAAAACAATAGTCTAATCAAAAAAATGCATTTGTATGCTCATTACATCACTGCGAAGGTATATAAACTTATCAAATAGTTGCTGCCATTGGTAAGTTCATGGTTAATTTTCTTTTTACCCGAACAATGTCAAATAAGTTACATTTCAGAAGAAAATTGAGACAACTTGCTTGTTTCGTACACAGGCCACAAGATTCTTGGAGAGTTTATAATTGAAAATAGATTCGCAAAGTGGATTGGAAAACATTCTACATGAAATATTATTCAAAATTTGTTTTATGTTTTTCAAGTCTCTGGAAGAGATGAAACAGTCCCTCTATCTTTCGAAGGATCATATTCCTGTCGAGTTATACGAAAAGAAAAAAATGTTGGTGCAAAAATTCATAGGTATAAAATTTTATTTTGACGTTTGACAATTTAAAAATTTGATTTCATAAGATTCGATAATGTTATGCATTTCCAATTTCTACTCCATTTTGATTTGCGCAACTGTTGTCGCTCTAATCACGAAAAGCATATCTAGTCCTCTAATTGTAATGTACTTTTAAATTGAGGTCCTCGCTTTAAAATATAATATGATATAACCACACCACAGCATTGACATTTTAGCAGTCCTGAAGGGTTTAATGTACCTTTACTTAAAGTGATTTTTAGAAAATACTATTGATTCAATTAAATTACACTCACAGTGAACGCAAAAGAAGGGAAATGGAACTTGGAGTACCGAAAATGGTAGCTCTCGTTGGTAAAAACAATATCAGAGGAATATCCAGAGAATCAACAGCTAGTCGAATAACTTCAAAAATTCGATCTCGTAAAAATTCTGTAGTTGACTTTTTCCAAAGAAGGTTGAGCGTAGATAAATTAGGATCAAGGCAAATGAAGCGTCTGGAATCTTTATCCCGTGAGATATTTAATTACATTAAAATTAAAGTAAACAGGAAAAACATGAAAATATGCTGTATGAAATTTTTTTATCAACCGAGGTGTTAAAATGTCTGAGAATAAAACGAAATAGCCAAGACACGAAACAAACTTTATTGTTCTTATAGTATGGATAGATAGTGTGCCCATTGTTATCAAACAGGCATGCTAGCAGGAACTTCTAATTGTATTATTACTTATCATCGATAAAACAACAGTTATCACCAATGTCTATTTCATGTACTGTCTATAAGTAAAATCATTTTGAAATATTGAAACAAACTATTTCCTCGCAAGTTCTATTATAATTATTTACGATTTTTTTATTTTGTTATTTTTAGAGAAAAATAAACGAGAAATCCACAATTTAGCGCCATCAACGCGCAAGAAAATAGAACTACATATACCGGTATTCGATGAAACCTCGGAAGAGGAAAGCGACGAAAATAAAATAAATTTTGATCTTTTGAAAAATACTAACGTAAATGACAAAAATACAGATGAGTCAAAGGGGAAACAGGTACAGACTTTATTTGTTATATAAGAAACTACAATTCAAATAATGAAACTACGATGACAAATAATCCTCAATAGAGCAATCTCTGCAGTATGACAAAGTCGGCATTGAATCCTAAAATTATTGTTCCCGACGCAGACGCTCAAACTGGAACAATAGTTTACGATATGGTAATTAGATTAAACAATGCTATATTAAGATGTGACCTGGTAAGTACTAATATTAATATAGTTTGAGATTATGTTTGTTAATACAAAAATAGTACAACTGGGTGTATTGTAGTTTTTAGGAAAACTAAATAAGTTATGGGGTTTGTAAAACCTATTCAAAGATATTGATTTTTGTCGATAGCAAAATCGATTGGACTTATTTCCGCGCTCATTTTAAAGGACCCGTAATCGAAAGAATAATTTCAGCTTAATTTTGAGGTATGTTCCTCATATTTACATGTATACTAGTTCACAGATCATTGTGAGTAAAGTAAAAGTTATCAGCACTCTCAAATTAAAGTTGAAAAGTTTTTTTTTGAGCTTTATCATTTATATCGACATGGTTCAATTAATTTAGCCACCAAGTATCAGCACTCTCAAACTAAAGTTAAATAAGTTTTTTTTAGCTTTATCATTTATATCGACATGTTTTCAATTAATTCAGGCAACAGAAAAAGTGGCTGCCCTACTTGGCGATGTACATATCGCATCGAAAGATGAATCGTCCATTGCATCGGACACAACGTACAACATTCTACAATGTGGTACAATCAACAGAAGAATTGAAGAACTAAAAAGACTCAAGAAAAGTAAACGTAAAACTCGAGTGAGTGCTTTGACATCTTATAATTTCTTTCATTAATATATATACATATATGGGTCAAGTAGAGAACTAAGTAAAATGTACTTCGTGAAATCACATTCCAGAGCATTGTAGCTATCAAATCAAGCAAAATTATAAACCCAACAAGCGAAAAAAATAAACCTGCCGGCATTTCTGTTTGTCATATCACAGGCATTGGAAACGGTTACGCTACATATAAACATAGAATCGTCAGAAGAAGAGGATATAGCTGCAGAGAAAACGTACAAGAAATCTGTCCCAGGGATTAATAAATATTCGAAAAAGGTACCTGCGACAATGGTAGTTTCCAGAGATAAGGTCGCAAGTCTGAAAAAGGTAACTTACGATTTATATTATTCACAGAATGCTACTTTCTGTAAAGTTGTAATAAAAAGTGGCACACCATAGTATACCAATGCTATTCATTTGGGACATGGGTGTCGCTGCTCGATTACCAGTTTTAGCTCTTTCTTGCTCTAATGAATATATCTTATGGTACAATGTTATCTAGAATTGAAGCCTGGATTTAACATTCCTCCTTCAGATTTCACGAACAACTAGTCCTGGACTTGATAAGTACAGCAGCAGTCAATGTGATTTCGTGACCGCGGACACCCATTCGTCTCGACTTGAGACTGTTAAATCTGATGGTCCAGACAAACAAATTCACAGCAATAAAGTTTTAACTTCCGCTCGATGCAAAAACTTGAAAAAGTTCGAGACGAAACATTCCAGACCAAACACAAGAAGCGATGGTTTGATACAGTGGACCGACGAATGCGGTAACGTGTGCCAAGTTCAAAGTGATGATGGGAAATACGGTGACATAGTTTTAAAATCTCGACCCTTTTCCGAAAAAAGCACTTTGTCATCGCTAGGTAAGATAAACCAGTGCGAATTTACAGATACAAGCGATGCTCTTAATCCCGGTAAAGATCCACTGAGTCCACAATGTGTCCGAAAGAAAAAAGACGCTTCAGCACAAGTTTGGGCTGCACTTGCACAGACACCTGAAGCTAAATGTGCAACTGTATTAAATTCCGATCAAAGGCAACATCTCGCGAAACCTGAAGGTTGCATAATATATGTGGATGAATATGGAATTAGCAAACGTTTTCCGCTTTCGTTTCCACGTTTTGTATCTCCAATCAGTCTGCAATAACAGACTTTGAAAAAACTACACATCTTGATCCCCGGAAGACTGGTATGGAAACAATTCAAGCAATGTTTGAGGCAATTATGAAACTTTTTGAAGAATAGATCTTATTACCGGTATATAATCTATATCATTTATCCATGATTTAGAGTTGTTGCACATTTCAAATAAACATTGATCCATTTGCTGTGATCATGCCGAGCAACTGGGGAAGTTCGTAAAACCAGAGTGGTTCAATTTTGAAACCCGTGTGCGATCCGAGAAGTTGTATTTTCTGACATTCAGAAGTCACATTTTTTCCCCCGTTTTATCAATCCATTTTCGCGTTCCTTTAGCAAAATCTATGACGAGCAGATGGCGTATTATATATATATATACAACAATTTTTATCTTACACAGCTAAATATCACTGAATTTGGCAATGCGCTTAACTTTTAATTGAGTTTCAAAGACTGGAAAATCGGTATTTACACGAGTTTAGCTATTTTACGAAAACGTGATTTGTACATTTAACAAGAGAGCAATGATCAAATATACCGTCATGTAGGCTACACGGAGGTCGAGTGTCAAAGCAGTACTCCCATGATTCAAAATAAATCAGTAAAATGTAGGTGAAGTATCAAGCTACGTGAGCCTAAAAAATAAGTAAAAAGTTTTACAGCGAATTTTCATTTGAAATCTATTGTTTCAGGAATCCAGACGAAAAGCGTGCCCAAAAAGCAATAAACTATTATTTTACTCCGTAGGCGTAGACCAATTGCCATTTATAATATTTTCAACCCACCTTCTTCATGTAAAGCAAAGCAAATATTGTGACACATCACATGCCCCCGTTTCCCAGTCGCAAGTGTTGACCACAGCCAGGCTGGTGCCAGCAGTCTGAATCAGTATTCTGGAATTGAGTACAGGTATCACAGTTTGAAGAGCTCTTGATAATGTGTGTAGACCGACCTCCAGCCCAGCTGCCGGAGAAAGAGAACGAAGGATATGTTTTCTCTCGCACGTGTAATGGGTGGAAGTCTCGCACGTGTAAAGTCCAGACCCGGTCAAAACTGCCTAAATCAAAGGTCTGATAAATAGCATACAGAGAAATACAAAATTATATTTACACAATACAAACACGGACATTATGGTCCGTGACACAGGTAAACACTGTGTTTCAATTCACAATCTTATGTATAGATCGATGATTGAAGTTTTGAATATGTCAACGTCTTTTCCTCTCCTGTGATAATATCTTATAATCAGAATTTTGTTCCATGCGGTCTTTATCTGCCCACCAGGCAGCCATTTGCTGGTGTAAGCTTTTAAGTAGTTCTACTTAGTTTGCCATTAAGCGACATTAGTGATAGAGTTTAACGTAATTTATAAAAGATGACAATATTACAAAACAATTTTACACTGTTATCTTAAATAATTAATCAATTAATTTGCAACGCGCCACTAGGCACTACAACGTCTACCACTAGGAGGCGATGAACATCCACGGGTAACCTAGCAACCATACCAAAAGAAGGCCATAGCACTTTGTTGCTTGATGTTCGCTTAGTTGTGTGGTCGTTCACCTGTTCCTGCGTTCACTAAATTTTGATTCAATATGTATAAGTTAGATCTTCCGTTGGATCTGAAAGAGGCGGCTGCTATAGAAAGTAGGAGAAAACGAGAATTAGAGAGGCAAAATCGTATATTCAATTCCAAAACCCGAACAATTGGCGTAGATATTGAAGCTTTGAACACTCAAATAACATCAAGAAATATCCGGGAAGATACGGAAAAGGCTAGAGATGATGCTTTCATGAATGATATGGTACGGAATGATAAGGTTGTAATGATGTTACAAAAAAGACAGGAAGGGGATATCAGACGACTGAATCAAGCCTTGAATGGATTTCGCCTGCAATACCAACGCCCTGAAACAAGAAAAGAGTTTGATCTATATGACCCAGATGGCAAAAAGAAGGACAAGCCTGCAAGAGTTTCTGATGATGATCCACGATGTGGTGTTTCAGGCATGCAAAAGTTTGAGGGTGAAGACTTGAATTCGAAAGCAAGAAAAAAGTTACAAAATGAACAGTTACGAGAATGGTCTGTTGCGCAAAAACATGAGCGCGAAGAAGCACAAAAACAGCAAAAGTATGCAGATAAGCTTTATGATATGAAACGAGTTGAACTCGATCAAAGAGCAATTGAACTTGATGATGCCGAAAAAGAATGTCGTAGACAAATTGAAAAAGCAAGAAAAGAGTTCAACCAAGCTCAATCCAATGAACGTAAAGAAAAGGAAAATCTTAACAAAAGACAAGAACAAGATGATAACTTTACTGAAATTTCCAATCATGTTTTTGGTGATATTTTGACTGAAAATCCTGCTGTTGCATCAAGTTCTTTTGGATCACATAGAGTAATACCAGACCGGTGGAAGGGAATGACTCCAAAACAGGTTGAAGAAATACGTAGAATACAAGAACAACAGAGACAAGAAAGACGAAGACTTCGAGAAGAAGAATGGCAACGAGACATGGAATGGGATAGGCAAAGAGTCGCAATGGCGAGAGCTGCTACAATTTTGGAACGACAAGAAAACAATCTTCAGAAAGGATTAAGACAAGAACAAGATTTAGCAAATATCAGACTCGCAGCTGAACAATCAGCTCACAAAAACTTCCTTGACACTGAAGTATATGTCAACCCACCAACTGCACAATATTTTGCCCAATTCAACACTTCAAGTCGTTAAGGTTATTTTAAAGTGGTTTTATTTATCTTAGTATTTACTATTTGCTCCATTAATGTAGCAATTGCAAGCATGTTGGAATATTTGTTACAACATATTAATGTACTGTACACTACATTCATATTCTTGTAGACATATGATGACTGAGGTCTATTGAAAATACAACCATTGACTCCATTGTTCAGATTTATTTATTCAAATCACTAATGCATTTTAACGGGCATGTTAATGTTAAATTTTTTTATTGAGTATGGTATTATTCAAATTATTTGGAATTTATTTTATTCAGGTGAATTAAATTTAGTTGTTTGTGGGCGATAATTGTAGTTTGTTGTCTGTGTATTGAATTGTATTTCCTTGTTTCATGAGAAACTCAACTTTTGGGCATTTTGTAATAAATTTGAAACAAAATGTAGATTGTGGAAATCACACCAGTGTTTCATTACATCTCCTAGTTTTCACACTCTGTTAATTAAGTGTGAAGCATTTTAAAATGGTACTGCATTAATGCTTAACACAGCATTTTCTTTTATGGAATAACTTTAGGTCAACTTGAGCCATATTTGAAACATTCAGATGAAATTGCTTAACATTAGTTAACACTAATCTGTCATTAATATCCTTCAGTATTCGTCACTGTAGGGAAGAATTGGGGGTTGAATGTTTATGCAACTCAATATTGTATGTCAACCAGGATGATGCCAACGAATTACCTTTGGCAGGAATAAAAAAAAGAATAGAAACTATTGTCATGGAAATAAAAATAATTAATAATAGTCTTGAAAACGTCTGCATTTACTAAATTTTACTCGTTTATGTGAATCAGTGTTGTAAGTGTGTCTGCTTGAAGGCCTTTCGAGGTCCCTCGCGACCCCTCCTGTCACCATATTGCGGTTAGTTAGTCTTTTTTATGACATTTTCCATGGTGTCTTTATGTTGTGTTGACAAATAAATGATGATTGATTGGTGTGCAATGGAAGGTGAGTTCAATTCTTAAGATAACGCTAGTTCATTACTTGCAAATTATTTTGTTATCAATCTGACATCCCTATACAAAGTACTCTTTTCTTATTACATATAAAATCGTTTGGAACGACGGATTTGGGGTAATAAAAAGGAAGCAAGCGTTCAAAACGGATATCTCAACTGATGTTAAATAATATCTCTCAACTATAAGCCAAAAAAGTCGTGACCCAATCAACCTATTTTTTTGCCCCTTCTAAGTTTAACCAAAAACAGGCGACGGCATCTTTCTTTTCACAAAATTGACATTTCATAGTGCAACAAAAAGAATTACGCAAGAATTGTGAATTATTCTGTGATTATCATAAGTTTGGGGAACGAGTGCGCGAAACCACTACGCCGGCAGTATAGTAGCACAGTGATTTTCAACCGGTGTTCCGCGAGAGACCTCCAGGTGTTCCGCGAAAAATTGCTTTTTGAAGTATTATGACGTCATAACTGAAAACTTATAAAAATCACACAAGTAAAGTTGAGATTAAAATTCTCTGGTATACTTCTAGAAACTTTCTGGACTGAAGCCTTCAGGAAATTTCCAACTCTTTCTAAAAAGCACTTTTAATTTTGCTACCACTTATCACTCACTACCTATACTTGCGAAATAATTTTGATGATCGACCAAGGCTGGACAAAATAATCGATTAGCGAATGGAAAATTAAAATATTCGAATGGCATTTTACTACTCGTATATCCGAAACCACGTGACCTGTACCGATCTGGTTGGGCACGAAACTCGCGCGCCGGTAAATCAATCGCTTGGATTGCGCGAGAATTCACCCTCTGCATTTGCTGTTATTTTGCAAAAAGTGCGCCGACAACATTTCGTAAATGTAGAAACGTCAATCCAAATAAGCTATTTAGAATAACGTTCTTGGACTTTGAAGATGTTATTAACCATTCCATGCATGACCGGGATACAAAAATCATTATCGAAAATTAAGAGTTACAAAGACGATTTTCATAGACGATGAAAACGGCAATTTTAGGTTGTCAGAAAATTCGAGGTATAATTATAAATAGCATCGATTTAAAAATAGTGAGTCAGAGTTTTGAAAATCTGGTATAAAATAACTCGTAACGAGATAAAAAATGACAGGCCATATTCTCTTTTATTGGACTTTCTAACACCCCGGCGTGTGTTTTTAGTGACTTTGGAGACTGTTTCAAAAATGTGAACATTATACTCGACCATGAATGGAGTCATCATTGATTAACTTTCGTTGCATTTTGAAGCTTTTCTTGCAGTAGTAATTAGGGCATCAAAATCGTCAAGTGAAGTGTTAAATTTGCAAATTCCGTAAATAAAATTGTAAATTTTTCGGTAACGGTTTTAGCTATGATCATGGTCGTGGTATTGTTTTGTTGAAGAAAAAAAAACGTTGAAACTTGAGGTGATTAATTCTAATCAGCGTCTTCCCTTCTACTAGGCACAAAAGCACTTGAACACAAAATTGTTTACAAATTTTTTGGTATCAGGTCGCGTATGTAAAATATCGTTTAAGATGGGCTCTTTATCGTCGTCTTGCCTAACGGCCATGAAGAAATGCCCTTATTTCAGATTTTAAATCAACATTTAAGATTCACGCAAGCATAACTTTGCACTATGGGACTGGGACGTTCAATTTGCGACGATAAGCTAGATAAAACCCGACGCAAAAGATAAAAATCAGAATAAAATTAATTTAAGCTTTGAAATCACCTCCTAATGGCATTAACATCTGTCGCCGATGTGAATGCATAGTTATACCAATAATATGAAACTTTGATCTCCGCCGACCCACAAGAATCAATACTTGCGCACAAGAACAAAGGGCGGAAATATGAAACCGTACAGGGGACAAAAAATTCATCGATTATGACGAAATTAACCAGTAAAAATCGCTTTATTGCCGATTTTCAATTTTTCCATTTTTTCCCAAACCGACCTCTGACGTTCCGGAATCCTGTCAAGTGTAAAAATGTATTCGTTGTTATTGGACTATTCGGTATTCGAAAAATATTTGACTTTGCCCACCACTTTATTGGCAGCCATGAAAGTTAAAAAACGTGGGAAATTAAGAGTCGTTGAGAAGTAGCTGCGTGTTTGTCTCTTTTCAATTCCAGTCATAATCATATTTTTAAAACCCATCAAAACAAGCCCAAACATGACACTAAAATACTATTTCCATTTCTAGCTAATCATAGTATATATGCATGAGCAAACTCGCAAAAACATTTATTTGTACCATACGTTAGCTCTGGATCGGAATGTGTCACGTCTTTCCCAGCTAAAGTGGACAAGTTATATTATTATTTACGTTTTTTTATTTTCATGTCGAAATGATGGATGTCAGTTAATTGCATAATATAGATAGTTTAATAACAAAAATCTCATTTGATGTTCCGCCACAATTTTAGATTAATAAAAGTGTTCCGCGGTACAAAAAAGGTTGAAAATCACTGTAGTAGCATATCAGCTTCAACAACAAATCAGCACAGGGTGGTCCAAACCCAGGACCGCGGGCCACATGTGGCCCGCAGCGTAATTATCTGTGGCTCGCGTCGCCTTTGCTGAAGGGTAATCAAAAAATCGCATTTGGTGTTGTTTCGTCTTGAAAATAATCAGGAAATCTTTTCGACATGTTGTTACATCACTAATGTCACTAAATAGACGAAGTTGAATATTGTGCTTGGGTATTTTTGAGTAATTTTGTGGCCCACGAAGGCGACACCCTTGGACCACCCTGATTCAGCAAAACGACTGTACACAAGCTTCATGTCCAACAACAGTTTCGCGAACCAATCCAAAATGCTGCGTCTTGTTAAAAGTCCAGGTCGGGTAATATTGTAAATTGGACACGTATTCCTGAAGATAGATAGAAGTTTATTTATCATCCAGTCATTAGCCAACAAATCAAACAAAAATAGTAACACTCAGGAAAAAAAAAAAAATAATCTACTAACAACGGAATTGATAGGAGGTTGGAATGACCATACAGTCACTAAATCAAAACAACTCTCCTGGCATAAATAAGGTTGACAGATTTTACAGATTACATTTTATATTATACGAATTATAAAACATGTTAACTTGTTGTAACTAATAATCATGCAACAAGAGTAATGTGACACATATGAGACAAAATTTGAAAGAGTAGCGGCAAGAAAAAGCGTTTATTTCATATCACACAAAATAAAAACGTACAAGTTGAAAAGTTATGAATCAGTACTTATTCAGAAAAGACACGAGAATTTTTTTTAGGTTTGCGTTAATATCATTCCAAATTCTCACACCCTACAACTTTATGGAGGATGAAAATCGTGGTACAAATAATCCTCCATTTCGAGATGAACGAGTACCATATGTATGTGCATTTTTTGTTGGGACCAAATATTGTTGAATTACGCGAGGGCCAGTGCCATTTACCGCTTGATACATGAGCCTTCCCATTTCATAAAAATATAGATCTTTTATTCTAAGAATACCAAGGATTTTGTAGTAACTACTCAGATTAGCCCAGCGTGACAGTATTGAAATCAAACTTGAATGTACAAGGGAAGGGAAGAGAGTTAACGGTCTAAATTAATTGTAATCGTCTACTGTCTAAAATTTATTAATCATTTCAGAAAGTTCGGTTTCGAAAAATTTAAAATCAATGATTTGTTGACTGCGGATACCGATTTCAAGATTTTTGATAATCAAAAATGGCTCTGATTAAAATAACTGCATTTTCAATGGTATATCTGTTCCTTCATGTTTAAATGATATTGAGTTCACCTTGTTACTCACGAAGAATCTTTACTGATTGTGTATACTGTATTAGTGTATTGCATAACAAGAGAGCTACGCACAAATATATGGACACGTTAGACCAGAGCGAATCAGTCTTTACCGGTACCTTTGACACTACCGGTACCCTCAAAAAAGTTCTGAATTTCCAGTAGCAAGAATTTTGCAGAATCAAAACGTACAGTCAGTCATGACACTGACTAAAATCCGTGTTCTCATGGATAAAAAATAATACAGCAAAATTTTAGACGAAATATCAAATTTCATAGAATTCACGCAAAATTTTGAAATAAATAAAAGTAATAGCCTTCTAGCGAAGAAATTAATCTTTAACCACTGAAAATTTCAAAGCAATTGGTCCAGTATTCGAAGAGAAAAGCGATTTTTTAAAAACGTGTCAAAGAACAAGAACAACATAATATTGAAACGATCGTTATGGCCACTAAACGTGTCCAAAAACGCCAGCGTTTCGGGACCAAAGTTACCCTAGCAGACATCTCTCAGCAGACATCTCTCTCGTTTTCGGAACGGTAATATAGGGTTGCCGGAAAACGATTTAACATTGCGTATAAAACGCGCTGCGGAAAATATTCCACGTAAACTTTCGTAATTTTCAATGGCCGGCCAC